CCCATTGGCTTGTAGTCGTGGTGTGGAGTGGACAACTCTACGGGTTATCACAACCAATGAGATTTGTTTCTTCCAAACGGTCACAAAAATGGCCGTTGTTCTTGAAGGAAGCTGCCAAAAATCTTCTATGTGCTCGCCGGAAATAGAAATTGCAGCGTGCAAACGAGAAAGAAGAAGAAAAGAGGAGGCTGCAATGTTTGGATGGCTGCAACTTGAATGAAAGTAGGACAGGTTGGGCTTAGATAAATTTAAGGAAGTCTTAGTGGGCTATTTTTTTGTGGGTTGATATTGGTTTTGGTAAAATGTATGTTGAATTTTAAAAATATTATTTTTATTTAAGTTAATGTTTTTTTATATATAAAATATTTATGCAGGTTTAATAATTGTGTTTTTATTTAATATAACGTCAAAATTTTTTTTTTAAAAAAAAAAGGATAAATAATATGGAATGATAACCATTTCAAAGCACTAGTGAACATGTAATGAAGGTGTAGCGCATAGGTGACGTCACTTTTCTAGTTAACATCTTGTGACCATACCACATAGCCTAATAATAAAAAATCATTTGATCACATCATTAATTTTCATTAATAATAAGAACTCTTCGATTTAATGTGTCAATAACAGAACGTCATAGGTTTAAATATTACTAAAATAGAATTGTTAAATAAACAACCGTGTATTCGTGTTTCCCTCCACAAAGTACATTGCTCTAAAAACAAACCACAAAACTCCACATAAAAACCGCAATGCACAATAGCTTGAATCAGACCATTTGAAGATCCATTAAACATCAAGCTGAAACACTAATCTCATATTGCTGATCACCAACAGCAAGATAACGAGACCCCTCCTCAATCACCATCAACCCATCTTCATTAGCTGTTCTAAAATGCTCACACGGATTGATCACAAATTCAACTTCAACCCCTTCTCCCCCTTTCGTTTTCACACTCTCGAATGCCGCCAACTGCTTCCTCGCCTTTCCGTTTCCAATTCCGTCTTGCTTCACAAACAGCAAAACCGCATGTTTCCCTTCCATTTCCCCGTGATTCTGGATTCCGATGGTGGCTGAAAACTTGGACTTTTCACATGATTCGGTTTCGGTGTCGGTGATTGGTGTGTAATGAACGGAATCAGAATTCTGAAGGGTGGAACCGGTGCTTGAAATTTGGGTTAAGGAGAGTTTGTTTTGTGTGACAGATACAAATTCGTATGTGTACTTTGAGTAGCTGAGCCCATAACCAAACAGGAAAACTTTTCGGCCTGTGTAGAATCTATACGTACGCCCTGGATAACCAGAGGATGGTTGTGGTCTCATTCTCATGTCTGTCATTGGTATCTTCACGAACTCTTTTGGGTACCATGTCATTGGTAGCTTCCCTCCTGCAAAAACAGGGCACACGAATAAAAATGTTTATAGATTAAAACTATCATAAGTTACGATTTTGAATAAATTGCTCGAATCTACCTGGATTATGATCACCAAAGATGATTTCCGCAAGTGCAATACCACCGGATTCACCAGGATAACCGGCCCACAAGATTCCACCAATCTTGGGATCACGTTTAGCAAACGAAATATCCACCGGACCACCACAAATCATCACCAAAATCACCGGTTTTTTAGCCGCTTTAGCCACACTACTAATCAGATCCCGTTGCTTCCCCGGAAGCACCAAATCAACCCGATCAAAATCCTCCCTTTCCTCCCCCTGATCCAACCCCATAAACAAAACCACATAATCCGCCTTTTTAGCCACCTCAACAGCCTCATTGATCGAAGCCGATGTGCAATTAACAAAGTTACACCCTTTATGATACTGCGTGTTTTTCACATAGCTCTGAAGGGCTTTGAGAGGCTCGATGGATTTACAAGGTGGGCCCGCGTAGTTTCCGATGAGGGTATATGCGGAATTGGCATTAGGACCAATCACGGCCAAGGACGAAATGGTCTTTTTCAATGGGAGGAGTTTAGCGGAGTTCTTTAGAAGTACAATCCCGTTTCTTGCAGCGTCTAGGGCTAGGTCCTGGTGCGCTTTGGTGCAGACTTGGTTCGGACCGATTGAGCCGTATGGGAGTGTGGCTGGGTTGCCATTGAACAAGCCTAGTCGCATTCTCATGGTGAAGAGGTTGGTAAGGGCTCTGTCTATGTCCGATTCAAGGACTTTCTTCTTTTGGACTGCTGATTTGGTGTGGTTCTTCAAGTAGAAACCACAGTCTACATCCATTCCTGTTATTATTTTCAACAAAACAAGAATTTTACTTAGCCGATTTTAACATACTTTGAGTCATGTGATTGTAGTTTATATTTACTTACTACTTAGTGAAATATAAGAGGTGTGACAAGTGAATGCGTTAATATAAGATTGAGCAATGTATTTTATCTTATACTAATCTTAGCAACGTTCTTACATTCTTTTATCAATAATAGAAATACACTTTTATTTTTACTCATAATAACATACTTACTCATAATAACAAAGTACTTACATTTTGCTACCAATATATTTGTTATGTATTGATATTATCAATTAAAGAACTGTTTACATTGCTATTATCGGTAAAAACTTGTGAGTATGTTCCTATTGTGTATAAAGAAGTATAAAGGTGTTGCTACTTGCTAGTATAGGTTATCGGTAAAATAATATGATTAAGTTACGATTATAGATAAAAAAAATATGAATGTATTCCTACTATGGATATATAAATTTAAAAAAAAAAAAAAAAAAAAAAGAAAACATTGACAGTGTTAATAAGATATGTGGGGTGGTAAATTCAAAAAGTCAAAAAGTCAAAAAGAAAACAGACTAATTATTTTAAGAGTCACGTGTATGGACCAAATGTCTATTATATGGACTTTAGTTGAGCCATGCGCAATAGTTGGACCAAACAACCAAATTGGTCCAATGACTCCCAATCATATACCACAAAAATAACAATTACTATATATATATAGATATATATATATATATATATATATATAATATATATATATAATATATATATATTTCCACGAGACTCAGAAAGCAATAATTGATTGCAATATATATAAATATAAGAATCAGATTATAACTTTATAATTCGTTGGCAATATATATAAATATGACTATATAAGAATCAGATTTTGATTTTAGGTGATCATGAACTAGTGTTAACTACTTAACCAACCCTATCCCTATGCCTGTGAGCTTCATGTAGAATAATGATAGAAAATTATAAAATTATATTTCAATATTACAAGGATAAATATGTAATCTAAGTTTAGATATTTTGAAAAACAATATGATTAATTTGAGATATTTAAAATAAAATTATCATATATAAGTAAAATGGCTGATGGCTGGATGTTCCGTAGAAAAAAAATAAAGTCATAAGAAAAAGGTTTATATTGTTATTATGTGACACTTTCTCCCTTTGAACTACAAATTTGATAATTTGTCTCCTTCAACAAACAAACTGTTATGATCATATACTCTAATAGCTTGATGAATACTCATGAATGTCGGTGTTCAAAAACTCATAAATCGAAGCATAAAAGCTAGAAGGGCCATTCATTAAGTATACTTTATTTAATGGGTCCCATTTCGTGACCTAACAAAGAGTGTATTCAATCAAACAAAAAAACGGAATCTCGTGTACGTAAACCAATAATATTATCAATTGATAATATTAACAAGGGATCACAGTTAAATTCTACTGTAAAAAAAACTCTAAAAAAGACTCAAGAGTGCTAGACACTTGTATATGTGTAAAAGGACGGATGAAGAAGAGAGTACTCCAAAGGGGGGACCTTTTGTTGAATATAAATAGTTAAAGGATTGAAAGTAAAAGTAGTAAGAAAAAGGGATACCTGCTTTAAGTACATCAGCAACTGCATCTTCTGGTGTTTTGGCATATTTATGAACATCATATATGATGGATACTGCATCACAGTCTGAAGTGATGTACCTGAACAAAAAGATGTGGAATTACCAATATGCCCCCAATCTTGTAATTTACTCAATATATTGAGAGAGATATTATTTAATAAAGAATCTTGTAAATCGTAAATAATACCATTAATTTACAAAAACTCTCTAACAAAGAAATATCTAGTCCTTTTTTTTTTTTTTTTTTTTTTTTTTTTTTTTTTGTATTTGGGATTGGGATATTTTACCCTTTAAAACCCCATTGCTTCCGGGCAATGTTGGATAAAAGATTTTCATCGGCACAATTTGGGACTCCATTGACACGGTTATAAGCACACATGATTCCGCTAGCTCCAGCACGTTGTATGCAACTTTGAAATGGTGGTTGATAAGTGTCAGCAAGATCTTGTTTTGTCACCTATTTTTTACATTTTCACAATATAAGATATCCTTAAATAATAATAAAATCAAAATAACATAAAAGAAGAGTTATTTCACGTATTTCGGATTTGTTATGTGATTGGGTATTAATATCTACTGCCAAAAATAAACGATCACAAACATCAAACTCCATTGATGATATTTTATTACTTTGCTTTTCTATTTGGATATGTATATATATTTGTAAATGATTCAGATAATGCTATTTATATCTAAAATTATTGTAATTCTAGTCATGGGTCGTGCTCCTCTTTTTTGGGAAAAGTCCAAAAATGGAATAGTCCAAAAGGTGGTTCTTTTTTCTAATAATATAATATAAAAAACTCCAAAAGAAAAAAGAAAAAAGAAAAAACCAACCCATAAACGTTGCAAACACAAAATCCGGAAAGAAGCATCAGTCATCAAATACTTATAATACAAAAAACATAAATTTCTAGCACAAGTCTCAAGAAAAAAGAATAATTTCTTGAGAGTAACATTTTTTATGATGTTAAAAAAATTAAAAATATTCTACGATTTGTTTTTTGCTAGTTATGATATTTACTTCCACATACATTGTATAGTTATAAAAATATTCTACGATTTGTTTTTGCGAGTTATAATATAACATTTTTTTGCATTTAAAGTGTATTTTAA